AGAACGTTCTATAACTAAAAATGGACATGTTTAGGAGTGCATTCCTGCCTTCTTCGCGAATCGACAATTACAACAATCCCCACAGCACCACCACGGCCGCAACTCCCCCTTTCAATACGACTGTGCATACAACTACGGCTCCCATGACCACTATTACTACTACTGCAACTACTAGTACTACTACTGCTACTACTAGTAGTAGTACTAGTACGAACCACAGACTAGACACCGTCCCACTGACGACACCCGACCAAAGAAACGTAGCATCTAATGCGACCATAGTCTACGACATGATGCTGGCATATTTCTGGAAAAACACCGACAAGAACAAGCGATCCGACATTTACGACAGTCTCACTCTCCGGAACGCGGTGACTTCCGCGAGCGACCATCGAGCCGGTAGCGAACGTCTCTTTAGAAAACACGTTTACGAGGTTTTGGGCAGATCCTTTCCCTGGATCCTTAGCGTCGATAACGTCCGCGTCTGCGTCTCGGACCAGAGATCCGTACTGCCCATCGAGATCCTCATTCCACGCAGGGCGGCCTACACCAACGAGAGCGCAGACTTGGCTTTTGTCGGGCGCGTCCTATACGACCAGTACAAATCGGTGATTGATCCGTACGATCACGTCACGTATTTGGTTAGGAATCACCCCAAGCTCGTGGAACGCTACCCCATGTTCTGGTCCTACGTGTTTCTCAAAAACGTTCCGGCGTACAACGATTACGTGGAAGGCGACTGGAGCGACGAGAAGACAATCTTTTCGAGTCAGACCTATCAGGCGGGCTGGTTGAATGCAGACGCAATAACAATGCTGGCAAGCACAGTCACGAATCTGCCCTTTGGCGGAACGGGTGGCGTCGGCGAAGAGCCCGTAGCCCTGGGCGTGCGCGCCATGTACAACCTGGAGTTATTTAGTTTTGCCTACAACGGAGACTACCTGTTTACGGCCGCCGCCATCCGCAACGCGTACAAGTTTGCCTACGACTCGTGCCTCTACGTTCCGCGCGGCGTGGCCACGGCTGAGCTCCGTTCGCTAAAGAAGAGGGAGGTCCTTCTGGGCGTGCGGCAACCCACCATCTCCGACGTGGTCAACGACATCAACAACGTCAAGACGTCGTCCGTCATGGTCTACCTGGACGGAACCGTGAGAAAGAAGCGCGGCGGCGGCATCGCGAGTGGCGGCGTGGGTTGCCTCAAGGCTTCCGGCCTGCAAGAGGACGTGGTGGAGAAAATTGTCGAGAGCGTCGAGTCGACCGTCAAGACCATACTACCCCGACTGTGCGAGACGATAGGAATTCCGAGCGTGATTGCCAACGCCATGACGGCAACGAAAAAGATTCGGCTACTAGACGTGCTGCGCACCGTGGACAACGTCCTCTTCCAACACAGCGACTGGGAAGAGAGAATAAACAGGGGTCTTGCCGCGATTCCGTCTCTGATCAACAACATAACCAACGAGCCGATCGTCAGCTTTGTGCCGAGCAAAACGGCATACACGCACGTACCCACAGGCAGCACCCTCGAGCTACCCGGCTTTGACAACTCGATTGTGCTCTCCACTCATCTCGATCCCGAAACAAACAAGCGCTTCTGTCCCCTCAAGTTCATTTTACAAGAGCCCTTCCTCTATCTAAACAAGGGGAGCGGGCGTTACTTTACCCACTCGAGTGGAGGTCACCCGATGCCCTTCACCCAGGTAGAGGGATTACGCATACTGTATTACTTTCTCGTCCAATTAAAAAAAACACAACCTCCATTATTTGGCGTGACCTTGTGTGATGAGAGTACTTAAGCGTCGCCCTTCTACACACACAATAAACGTATTGACACCATGGGTATCCGAAATCTTTGGAATACACTCAACGCAGTTTGCAACCGCGCCGTCGAGGAGGAACTGGCACCGTTACTCGAGTCTCAGTTACAGCTCTTGGACGACCCCGGCAGTAACGTCGAGACGGCCACGAACCTCGTTTTGCGGACGTATTTTTCGCCTACGCCGTCTGCGCGTCACTTCGACTATGAGAGCGTGACGTCCTCGTTCGTGATCGGAGAGTCGGCGCGCATTCAAGTCGTCGTCGACGGTAACATTTTTCTACACCACTGCAAGCACTCGCTGACGGACCACCATCTCAAGACGTTTGCGGACAAGATCGATGCCGCACGAGCGATCGCCGACCGAGAGGAACGAGAGCGAGTGTGGGAAGCCTTGAACCTCGAGATTATCAAACACTACGTTCGCGAGACCAACGGAGATCTGGTTGGCGATTACGTCGAAGACTATATCGAAGACGACGCGTTTGTTCTTCGAGATTTGGACTGGGACAAGGAGTACGAGGCGAGACCGGGCGAACGCTGCATCCGATACGACGCCTTCTTCACGACGGTGTTTCATTGCATATCTAGGACGGTCAAGAGGGTCGTCAAGGGGCTGTCCCTAAACAGGCGTGTGGAAGTTGACGTGGTGGTGGTGTTTGACGGAATGTCGCCGACGGTAAAGTGGCCCGAGCAGTACAAGCGTCGCAGTAGAGAGCTGACCAACGTCATCAAAAACTCGTCTGGCGAGGACACCAAGCGAGTTCGGACCATCAAAAATTCGAGACTGCAGTCTGTCCTGAACGGAAGGCTCAAAAACTTGGCACGCTACGGCAAAGACGCCATGGCCACAATCAGCCGATTGACCGCGGCCTCGGACGTGATGCAGCACGTCAGGGAATATGCCACGCTTCTCGAGAACTCACTCTACGCCAAAGAGGTGATTGACGGCTACTCGAACGAGTCGGCTGCAGCGTACCAAGTCTCGTCCTTTACGATCCTGCCGCCGTTCTACGTGGGGGAAGGCGACGTCAAGGTCGTGGACTCTTTAATGTGTCCGCCGCCAAACGACGAGCGCTGGGACGTGTCCGTCGTTGTCACCGACGATTCGGACATTCTCCTCGGGGTAGCTACGGTCGTGGAAAAGATACCCTCGCGAGACGTCTACGTGTATTCGGCCCGCCAGTACAGCGAGAGTAAGAAGCGACAGGACGAACACAGGTTCGAGTTTGGCGGCGTGCAACACGCCGTGTCTCTGCTGGAAAGGTCTCTTCCCAGTCGTCAGGCGGGTTACTACCACATCAAGGACGATCTCTTTACTCGCGCTGTACGCGTCAGTAGTTCCGATCTTCACCCGCTGTCGTTTGTGGTGCCAATCTTGCTGTACGGCGGCTACGAGATGCTCCCGTTTATGATAAGCTCATCTAAAAAGGTGGACGGCAAGAAGGTGGACCTGTTTCGCGCAATGATGAACGCCGCAACGAAGGAGACTAGCTTCTTTGACATTTTACTGGCGGCGGTCGATGCCGCGGCACCTATGGAAGGGTCCACTACGCGGAGGCGAGCGGCCGCAATGTCCAAGGACTGGCCCAAGGCGAACGAGCGTCGGCAGAAAGTAGAGGAGATTGTCACGAAATACCTGAAGCTGCTTCAGTACACCGCGCTCTACACCACGCAGCAGGACCGGCTAGCGTGGTACGTAAAGCCCGTAGAGTTTGTGTACGAAGACCGCGTGGTAGAGAGGGACGCGACAACAAACGCTTTCGTCACGCGACCGATCACGACCATGGGGCAGAACAAGGCGTGCCGCGTGAGTCTCGCCGACGTTGCGAGCGTCATAAGGGCCCTAAAGGCCAGCGACGCGTTGGAATCTGCGGTGGACATACGAGCTTACGTTATCGAATCTAGCGGCGAACACCTTGCGGTTTCCAGCGCCATCAAGGCGCTTTCGGCGCTCTACATGATGGGTGCTATGGAGTTTGATGACGACTACGACAATTGGTCGGACGTGGAAGCCCTTGCTGCCGTCCACAAGTGGTACGAGACCCGCTGTCTGTGTCCCTGCATCAAGACGATGGATCTACGACGCGTCTTCTGCATCTTTAGACAGAGCAGCGACTGGTCTCGCACGTTCACCACTAGCCTCATCAGACGGGCCTATAAGAAGAACAAGCGGCGACTGAGCAACCTCCGATTTCCTAGTTTCGGCGCCATTTACAACGACATGTTGTGAATAAAAGAACGTTTGTTTGGACACACACACACACAGACGCACACACATAGAGACACATATGTATAGCAGCGTGCAAGCTAGCGTAAGCGTTTATTTTAGGCAAAGCAGACAAACACAAGCGAAAGCGAGTCACTTCTTGTAATACGACACTTTGTAAATGCCATAGTCGTTGGTGGACGTAATGTTTGACTTTGTAACATCTTTTAATATCTGCAATTTCTGTATAGTGATGTAGTAGAAACAGTCGACGAGCCTCGAGACGACCAGATTGTGTAGACACATCCAATGCTTCTCGCAATAAAGGCGATCTGACACATACTGTCCGTCTTCCTTGGGTTTGATTTTGGCCACGAGCGCCGCTAGAGAGGTGGTCACCTCGTAGGTGCCGTGGTACGTGACTGGAATCACGTCGAAGAAGGATTCTTGTTCTTCCAGGGGATCGAAAGTGTAATCGAGTGGCAAAGTGGTCGTCTTGTCGTTTACATAGCTTTGCAGAACGTGGTGGAGAAAGGGTAGAATTGCATGCACGTTGTGATGCGCCGACGAGTGACGGACGTAGAGGTAGACGTAGTGCTTGGTGCATATCACGTCGTGCACCTTGAGATCGCGCAGCACGTTGATGAAGTTTATGCAGTCCACCACCACTCGGTTGGCGTCCTTGTCCCTGTATGAAAAGACGAGTAGATAGTGGTACGACGAGCTGTCTTTCTGACAACACTCTGCTCCCTCTACGACCGATGGGACGTTGTTTTGAATAAAGAAATTTGCGATAGCGATCCAGATTTTATAGGGTATCGATACCGAAAGGTCCAGTTCGCAATGGAGATAGTCTCGCAGGGTCCTCATTTTTTGTTGCGAAAAGATATCGACGAACGTGACCTGTTTCAACATTTTACTCCCTCGATCGTTCAAATCAGTCACCGAACCTTTTTGTTAATGTATATGGGGGCGTTGGCGGTTTTTTATTTCAAATGCATATGGGCACGTTGCTGTCGTCGTCCTTGCTGCGAGGCGTGGACGTGGATGGATTGGAGAGTAGCGGCGCCATCATCGTGGAGACGTCTTCCATGGTTTTACGGAGCTTGTCTCGCATCGAGTTGGACAACAGGTCGTCGCTGTCGCATATCAGTCTGTTGAGATGCTTTGTTTCGACCGGAACGATGACTTCCACGTCGTCGGCCACGGACCACCTACAACGGGCTAGGAAGAGGCGCAAGGCCGTCGCCGAAACAAACTGCCCCCTAAACAGGTTGTAGCAATTAGACACGGAGGCAAAAGCCTTGAGTAGTTCCTTCTCGAGAAATTTCTTGTTGATGACGCTAATCTCGGTCTCGTCCTCGATAAAGAGCTTGATGAACATGTTCAAAAAGTCGGCTAGTACGCGTTGGTCCACCTCGCAAGTGGATATGGCCGCCATGGCGCACTTCGCTCCGTTGGCGTCGCGCGTAGTGTGCATGGCAGTAGACATGGACGTGCACCACGAGATGATGGACGACGACACGCTAGGCGAGATGTGGTGTTCCAGATAGTTGGGCGACTGGACCCAGAGTAGAAAGTCGTTAAAGAAGCGCGAGTCGTACAGGTAGGTGTTTTCGCCGCGGTAGCTCCTGCAGAAACGCGTGTGATAAAACAGGTTGGTGGCCATCCGAAATAGCGCCGTGTTTGAGTAGGTGGCAATTTCTTCCTGGCGCGGAGTGGGTATGCCCTTGGTCATCTTGAGGCACTGTAAGGTGGCCCCAAACATGTCCGAGTCCATCATCTCAAAGTTTAGGCACTGTAGAAACAGACCGAGGTTACGGGGCGAGACGCAACAGGCCTGGCTGTAAAATCTGTTGAGCTCCTGCGTGCCCTGGTCCGACTGTTTGTGCACTTCGACGAAGCGAGAGTCCACGCGCCCGTTGCTCATGCACTGTTCTATGATGGAGGCGATGTTAAGGACCGACACCTCGGTGGCCGGCGCCTTCTCCTTCTGCAGGGCTAGCACGTAGTGGTTGGTCCGCGGCACGGGGATCGTGTCGGAACTCTTCATGATGAGCTCGTTGTGGTCACGCAGCGTCGTAGAGATGGCCGGATCGATGATGTTGACGTCGTCCGTGACCCGCTCGGCCGGCATGACGGTCCGGAGCGTCATGTAGTCGGTGTCGCAGCGGTACACTCCGTTCTCGACGTTACTCGTGTACAACCTGTTGCTCTCTTCGACCAGGAGGTTGATGACGTCCTGTGGCTTGTTGTTTTGCGAAAACTTTACGCGAATGGCCCCGACAATGTTTTCGTTGACGGTGTGTGGCTGCGTGATCCTGTGCACGAGGCTGAGACCGTTGGCCACGTCGAGCCAGTTGTGGCCCATGGCGCTCTCAAACTGAAAGATGGGGTTGCACTTTACGCGCACCGCCGCGTAGTTGCACAGGGATACTAGCATGACCGCCGTAATCTTGGCTGCCGTCCTTGCGCCCACCGCCATACCGCGAGTCGCCTCGCGCGCATGGGAAAAGATCTCTTCGATGTAGAGGAGTAGCAGGCGCAGAATGGCAGTAGCGTACGCGTCCACGTACGGCTTCAGATCCCTGATGACGCGCTGAGTGGTCGACGAGGAAGAGGTTTTCCTAAGTATGTTGAGACTGTTTCGTACGTATTCGATTCCCATTACGCAGTGAAATACTGTATTGTCATTCAGGAGCGTTTGGATGGCCATCTGATCCATGTCGACCGTCATCAGTATGTTACTACCGAGCTCGAAAACGCGAAAGAGCATATCTGCAACCGGTTCCACATCTCCGTTGGTCAGGAGCGTCGTGCGCGCCTTGGTAATGTGCTGCATGAGTTTCTTGGACGAGTAGCCGAGTAAGGTCGACGTGTCGTTCAGGAGCGTGGGCACGTATTTATTGCCATCTCTCCTGTAAGACACGTTTTGATTTCCCCGCTGCCGGAATACGGGTAATAAAATATCGGTGGCGTCTTCGTGATTCACCGAGTGTTGACATCGTCCCTTTTTCAACAGGTCTAAAAAATTTTCTGCGACAGACATTTTTATAATAAACAAAATTGCTACCGCCTATGGGAGGTCGACTCCGCTCCCAGTCGAGGTCAACCTAGATATGGAGAGAATATATATTGCGCACCGAGTAGAGGGCTCCTCTCATTATCGTCGCTATGGCGCACCTCGTTACGGATCCCATAAGCAAGGAAGTCGTGCGTCGCTTCAAGACGTTCGCCGAATGGCGACTTCGCACCAGAGCCACGCCTCGAGACTTTGCCTATGCCGGCCTAGAATATTGCGCTGACCGGAAACACATCTACTGTCGGCACTGCAAATTTCAAGTCGCCGAACAGGACTGGGAGACGCTCACGTTTCACCCGATGGACCTTCACCGCCGAATGCCGTGCAAGTTTCTCGAGCAGTACAGGGACCCGCGGGTGAACGTAGCAAAGGTCGTGTCCGTCTTGCCGAGCTACTCTCACCCGGTCTACAAGAGATACGTCGACGAGAAGATTCGAGCCAAGACCTTTCACGATGTTCGAGGCCCTGCGTTCGCCAAGGCCGGCTTTTTCTGCTCGCACGACGACGAGCAGGGCTACCTCTCCCGCGAACAGATAGTGACCCGCATAATCGTTTGTTTCTACTGCGGGGTGCAAGTATTTTCGATCCTCGACTGCGAAGAAGACGATCCGTGGCTGCTACACGCCCGCAGGTCCCCCAATTGCGTGTTTCTACGAGTGAACAAGACCTATTACTACGTGCACGATGCAGTCGAAAAGTTTTACAGGAGCGAGATGTACTGGGCGTCTCACTTTCCCGAGATCGACGATCTCGTCGAGGACCCAAAGTTCCGCAACAGGACTATGAGTACTCTGTACACGGCCAACCTGACGCATCCCTTGAACGTATCGGCGATGGTGAGTGCCATTCGGAGCAGCAAGGCGACTCCGTTGGGCAGTCACACTCTGTTTGAGCCAGTGAACGCCCTTCCTTCGTTCGATCACAAGGCTATCGGTAGGTGGGGTAACTTTGTGATAGATAGCGCGATCACTGATACGCACTATTCCGCTATAAAGTCACGAGACGAATCAACTAAGAGTTGCATCGTATGCATGAAGGCTCCGGCTAACATTGCCTACTTGCCGTGCGGACACTGCGTGTCGTGTTTCGACTGCACCATATTATTCAAACATTGCAAGGCCTGTAGACTCAAAATCGACTTTATTTCTAGAGTCTACTTTGCTTAAGAACATGTCTTTCTACTGGAGACTGTTCGTTCGACCACGACCCGACTGTGGCCAAGGTGATGTCCGACTTTAAAACTTTTGCGACGTGGCCTTTGCGCAACAGTACCCCCCCACCCAAGGACTTTGCCATGGCAGGACTCGCCTACGATCCAGAGAAGCGGATTCTCAGCCGCTCGATGTGCCAGCAAAAGACTCAACTCTCTACTATCGTGGCCTCGGACGAAACACTTCCCCAAGGACTGCACGAATCCGACTGTGACGCACCGCTACGCACGCTGAGTCCAGACGTCTCGGCGGTGGTGACCGAACGAGCGCTTGCCTTTAGGCCCGAGTTTCAGACTTACACTGCGAGGTTCGCCTCCTTCGACGCTCGGCCGAAAGAAGAAGACGTCTTTGACGTGGATTACATGGCATCTGCGGGATTTTATTACCTGACCGATCGGACCGTGGAATGCTTTTGTTGCGGACTTCGGTTGCTTTCGTGGGAAGCCGACTACGACGACCCAGTCGAGGAACACGCCAAGTACAACCCTCGCTGCCCCCATCTTCGATTGTGCGCGAGCGTAACCTACATCAAGGAGGTGTCCGACGTGTATAGAAATAGCGATTTATTTTGGTTGCTAGAATATACCAAGGACATTGAGTTTGTCTCAAACAAATACAGCCTAGACTTTATAACAGCATTGGCCACTTCCAAGTTTGATCTTTCCTGTCCGAACAAGCTAAAGTCCTTTCTCGAAAACAGCGATTCTTTTTCGGCGCTGAGCGTAGGACGTCCGTATCCCACGCGCATCGACAAGACGAGCATCTCCATGAAGCGGTCCGATCCGTCCACGACGATTTGCGTCGTCTGCATGAACTGTCCGGTGTGTATAGTTACTTTGCCCTGTGCCCACGCCGCCTTATGTTTAAATTGTCTATTTCCAATGATTTACAATTCGAGAGAGCAATTTGTGTGTTGCCTTTGTAAATCTGCAGTGAGTGGAATGTATCGAATTCATTAAATAAACTATTTGTACTGGCACTAGTGTAGTGTGCATGCAAAAGAACGATTCGTGACTCAAAAATATAAGCACGCGAAATATTTATTTTCAAGCATAACTCAGTCGTCTTCTTCGCCCATTGAGTCTTCTCCTTCGTCGTAGTTGAAGGTGTTTAGGACGATCGGACCCAGCATTCTGTCGTCGTCCGATTCGAGATATTCGTCGGCGTCACTGTCGTAGTCGTCACTGTAGCCGTCGTCACCGTCACCGTCGTCACTGTCGAGGTCTTGGTACTCGATGTCACCCACAACACCGTCCACACCTTCGATAACGTCTAGGTCGGTTGGCGCAATGTTTCTTAGTGACGGAGACACTGTGCTAGAAATACACAAAGTGTATTCACCAAGGTAGACGTCCTTGTTGGGGACGTCTCTAGCGGTGAGTAGGATGGCCGTCAGTCTTCGATGCACGTTGAGAAATTGGTGAAGCGTTTCTCGGCGTATAAATCCGAGTCCGGTCATGCAGAGGCTCCGTATGCCAACGTCGATGATCCTCTTTTCTGCGAGATACATCAAGGCTTCGTCGTCTAGGTGATAGCACGATCCCATCTGCAAGTGAGTCAAATTAGGTAGACCGTCCGCTAAGCACTTTACAGAGTCGTTGGTCAAGCCGGGTGCGTGACGTAGGAGCAAAGTCTTGATGTTCGGGTAGAAACGAACCAAATCACTGACGTGGCGGTCTCGCAGCATTGGATAGTGCACCAACTCCAAGAATGTGATGTGCGTAGGAAAGCTTCTTAATATTGAAATTTCGGTATACGCACAGTGAATTTGCCTTTCCACGTTGTCCCAAGCGTAGCCCTCTTTTTCGTGGTATATACTAAGCACCACTGTTTTCCAATCCACCACGCTTGACACTCTGGACTGAGCGAACACTTGTACGCAGGTGTCGGCCAGCGGGAGAGATGGGGACCTGTCTAGTCGAGCCATTGTCGCTTTGGGTTATAGGGTAGTAGTCGTGTCGTGTCGTGACGTCGGGGGAGAGGGTAGGGTTAGCTTTGCTGTAAGCGTAGTACGTGCGAGTACATATATATATATATATACCCTCACTCGCTATCTGAAAACGGAGATAACGTTTCGCTACAAAAAACAAAATCGTACATTTCCTGACTCAACTGATTCGAAGCGCAAAAGACAAAGTGCGTCACGTTATCTTTAGAGGCGAAGAGTTCCGTCGTTATCACCAAGATAGCGTATATAGATTCGTTGTTCTGCAATATCACTCGAAGGACAGCTCGACTGGCGTTTCTTATTCCAGTCAGACACAAACTCTTGAGTCGACGCAAAGGAGCCAGATGAATCCATCCCTCGTTCCTGATACGGCCACCGTTGTTGCTGATTTGAAGATGTTCGAGAGATTGAGCGTAGGTCGCCAAGTATTGTAGAGCAGAGTTTGACAATAGGGGGGCGTTCCTCAGGAGTATGGTCTTGAGGTGCGTATACGTACAAACAATGTACAACAATTGTGCGTCCTCCAAGGTCGGATAGTCGACAAGGTCCAAAACGGTCAGAGCGTTCGCGGACACATGAGAAAGTTTACAAATTTCGGAGAACAGGACGACCCTCTCTCGTTCAAACTCTTCCTCATTTGAGTCTTCCGAATAAACGTTGGCCACTACTCTGCTCCAGTCGAAGGTTCGCGATTGATCAAACTTGATGGCCTCGCGAAACACTTTGGACACGCTGGATGCTACTCCGGTCATGTTCTACGTTTGTCGACGCGCTTCGGCAGGCGCGCGTATATATACGTACGTTTTGTGTATGTAGAAAAATAAAGCCTCTCGAATGATTGTTTGTTTATTTCAAAAAAGACACGTACTAGACGTTGCGCAAAGCTCGCATAATGTGATCGCTTTCGGTGTAGTATCTCTTGTACTTGTAGCGCCTGATCTCGTCACTGACGTCGTCGTCACCGTCGTCACCGTCTTCAGCGTCGTCGTCGCTATCCACGTTGCGCTCAGCGTAGTCGTCGTCCGAATTTCCGTGAAACTTGGGCTCATTATTATTATTATTATTTGTCTCGTACACCGTCCGTCTGGTACGCAGAGTCGATTTGTAGCGGCCTCCGCCGGTCGAATGGAAGAAGCTATCCGTGGACGGACCCAGCGGTCTCTTTTCCCAGTCGTCCACGATCCTGTAGTTGGGGCGATTGGAAACGCGATACTTGAATTCCTTTCGCACGTTGTCGCGCGCGTTTGGACGAAACTTTGCACCAGACTCTCGGTGCACGATGTTGTCGGAATAATACGTGTCGTGCGTGGGCAAGTTTGTAAAGTCGCCGTTTATTGTCCTATACAACTCGCCTAGCTCGACCATCTCGTAGGCCACGACTATGGTTTCCAGAAAGGACGGCGGTGGGTCGCGAATCACGTCGATCCACTGCCCCACCTTGATCGAGCGGCTGGTGACCACGTCGTGAAACTTGCTAGATATCTTGTCAATGTTTACGTTCACCAAGACTCCCGAAACGTAGGGCGAATGATTATCTCCGGTGGTCCTACCGACTTTGGTTTCCAACAGGGCTGCGCCGTCGCTTCTCGCTTTAAACACGGGATAGAACGAGTTAGATCGAATAGCCTTGGCCGTTTCGGCGTACTCCCTTCCGCACATGACGTCGCCCTTCTTGTTACGCACGGGCACTATCGAGTGCATGTCATTCAACACGTGAACTGGAAATTGATGGACGAAAATTGGGGCGCTGCGCTTGTGCATCTTAAAGACCTGAAAGTCTCTGATCACGTCGTTGGCACGCTTTATGAGACGGTTCTTGTCCGACCGCAACCCCTCGTGAGCGCTCGTGAGAAACCTGAGCAGGCTCGGCGGGAGTTGGTCGAAAGAATAATCCACGCGCACTTGATACATTTTTTTATTACACGGGATACATGTACTTGGAGTCGCTGCTGGCGTTTCTGGACATTGTTCGCCTACCGACACTGACGCTGCGACCGAGTCGGCCTCGGTTGATGGAAATGCTACGGCTCCTCCTGTTGCCGACGCTGCGACTCCTCTTCCTTCCTCTTCTTCGACCCGAGGAGAGAACGCTCCTACTCCCACTCCTCCGCCGCGCGACGCTTCCGCTCCTGCTCCTAGTCCTCCGCCGCGCGACTCTCTTGCTACGACTCCTCCTCGTTCTTTGACTCGATGGTCGAATCTTGTCGAGGATCGCGTGAGTTATCAGCGCGTGCCTGGCTCGATTGATCGGACATGACGCCGGCAGTCGGTGTTTGCGAGCAAAGGCCTGAATTAGTTTCCCCAATAAAAGTTTCAGGTAGGTTGGACTCTGTCCTCGTTTAACCCGCATGGAGCCGAGAATGCGCCTTTGATCTTCCTTGGTGAAATGTTCGAGGCGATACGGCTTTCTCGTATCGAGTCTACGACCGTTCCTGTTGCATCTCGAACACTTTGTTCTGGCGGTTCGTTTCGAGAAACCGCACTTGGAACATTTGACCATTTTTATTTACTCGTTAAAAGCCATGCCTCTCAACAGAGCCTCGACATTTTCTGGAAGCTGAGTCTTCAATTTCGGATTAGGAGTAAAGGACTTTTCAATTTCCAATCGCACGTCTGTCGGTAGACTACTAATGTCCGGGACTTTTGTCAGGGAATAAAATCCCTCACCCGTCTTCTTTGTCCGGCGGGCGCCGGTCCGTCGACGCTTATTCTTCATTCTCTCGAAACGAACGAACGTGGATATGTTTTCAAACAGAGCGTCTCATAGGGCTCTCGTAGGTTTTTTTTGCTCGTCGTCCATGATCATTCGGATGGCCGTTTGAATCCGCAAGTATCGCAACACGTCGCCCGTGTACAGGTGTTGATATGGTTTATAAACGACGGCAGTGCGTTCCCAAATGTCTTCACCAATCACAAAGTCCTCGATGAATTTCCTCAATATTTTTTTCTGCGAGTCCGATTCCATCATTTTTATAATTGTAGTATCGAGGGCCCTCCCTCGTAATCCATCACCGCATCACACAACGCTCGAGCGTTCAAGTCGCGATTTCTGGACAGTTCCTCGGCCAGGCTCGGTTCTCGTCCATACTTTTCTTTAAATTCGACTCGCCACTGCCGCTTGCAGATTTGCTTCTCCACGATGTCGACCCGTTCGTAGCACTCGACGTCGATTTTGTTGTTTTTCAACACGACGTTCATGACCCTGTAGTCGTCTCGGCGCAGCACAAAATTTATAAACTCGATCACGTTGCGAAAGGCCACGTCCACCCTGGTCATGCGCTTAACTGCCACGAGCGCCTTGTAGAGGAATTCGCATTGGCGCACCGCGCCGAGTTCCTCAAAGGCGCGTTCGAGTTTGTAGGCAAAACCCTGATCTACCGTGTAATGGTTTAAGGTCTCGATCGTCATAGGGCCCAAGATTTCTCTAAACTGTCGCCTGATGGCTTCCACCTTGTCCGCGTTACTTTCGGCCAGTTCAAAATTGTATTGCGGAACGTGAAACGGCGTCACGCCGGAATACCTGGGGGTTTCTATAGCGCTCGATGCCGGTGACTCCATCATTCCGTATTCTTCGTTTGTAAACAACATTGCGCGGTCAGAGGCGTCGTCCAATACCGAGTCCCTTTTCTTTCTAGCTGCGGGATGGGTAGGCGACGAAACGGGTGGTGGAGACGCAGACGACGACGAGGCGCTATAACTATCGAGTACCAGATACTCCGCGTCTTCGTCATCAGAGGATATGGGTGGTGGTGGTGGTGTTTGAGCTGCCCTCGCGGGTGGCGCTTGGGGTGGTGGTGGTGGTTTTTGAGCTGCCCTCGCGGGTGGCGCTTTTGCCGGTGGTGGCGGTGGCGGTGGCGGTGGTGGTGGTGTTTGAGCTGCCCTCACGGGTGGTGCTCGGTGGGGTGGCGGTGGTGTTTAAAAATAATTTGACATAAATAAGTGCTTTTTAGAATCCTAGAGCTCACTAAGAAGCCTCTATGAGGCCTAAAGGCCTTCTCTGCAAACCACTTCTCAAATCGCCCTAATGACACACCAAAGATGACAATGTCGCACTTAAAGTGTACCTTGTAAACGGAACCTTTTCGCCCAACTGGGAGTCCATGGCATTCATTTCGTCCTTCTATGGCATTGAACATGTGACATGACACCTGCGATTCTCAGTATTCTGATAGGAAGTGTATAGCGCAAAATTAGCAGATATGTATTTGATTGTGCATACTTGTTTGCAGGTGGTGGGAGCGATCAACATGTTCAGCTGCCTCAACTGCAGGATCTTCAGGATTACCATCTACAGGTGGAACCAGCCCAGTGTTTTCTAAGCATGATTCAGATTGCAGTGGAAGCCCACAACGGGAATTGGAGCTGCTGCGTAAAGCTGTAGAACTTCAGAAGAAGTGTTCAGTGGTGAGTTGGTTGTTATTTTGACTTATTCCCAGCCATCTTTTGATTGCAGCAAAATGCAACAGAAGCTGAAAAGTAGGAACTCAAACCGAAAAACTGGCAGCTTTGTTACGGTTACAGCCGTACTATGAAATCGATTTTGTTTCGGTACGCTATTTACTTGAGTCTGAGCCGGCATTGATTTTATGCAGACCCCGAAAGGTAGAAAAATAATAAAAAATATACTCGATTATGAGCCAATCGGAAGGTAAAGAACACCGTGCATTTAAAAAAAAAAAAAACCTGGCTCGTGCTTTCGACACTTCTTTCGCTTTTGCTTTAATGATTTTTATGATCATGGGAAGTGCTACTGCACTCTCCGTCGAATGGATCACTCGAAGTGAGATTCGCCAATAATAACGAAGTAAGTGAGTTTATTGCGGTTCAAGTAAGGTATCTGACACAAACCAGAATACATCGAAGTCAGGACAATGCTAAACTGGAGACGCGAGCTAAGATAACCAGCTCTTCAAAAAGTCGTAGAGGAATCAATCTCTTAGTTTTGCATAACCAGACCAAAAATCGAACCCAATTTTTCTTTTTAATTTTTGTTGGGAGGTGGTATTTTGAAACAGAAACTCGGGAAAGCATCAGAAAACCAGGTGATATGTCATTCACTAAATCTGCATATAAAAAGCCGAGCTAGTCGGATAATAAAAAAATATGTGCCGACTGACCTGCGCCGTCGCAGTTGGGGTCAGGGAATCCGGGATGCTAGTTACAGCCACTCACTGCCAATAGTGGAAAGACTAATTCTGTGGCAGATCAAAATTAGTACGGTGATTGTAACACACGCCGCAGTGCACACATAGAGCCTTAGCTCCCTTAGAGCACCTGTCTTTCAGCACCAAAACAATGCACGTTTCATGGCTGGCCTCTCTATATTCGCAAAATAGGAAATGCTCTTTAAGGACATCCAGACCGATGATCTCGGTACTTACAGTCGAGGCTTTGCAGCCTACACGTGCTTCCTCGAAGGTGGAGATGGTTGCACACAAATCACACATCGCGAAGTTTGCGACTTTAGGACACAGCACCGGCCAGGGGTATCTTCAAATATTCAGGTCCAGCTGAGAGGACAAGTTTCTTCGGAGGTCATGAAGGCATCCAACATTCAGAGGATTCGTTACAAGGCATTTGAAATTTAAGCATGAGTGCATTTGCTTTGTTTTTGAGCATGCTGCCCCTTGTCCCCGAGCGGAGCTGTGTTTGACGCTGGGAAACCGGCTGCTCTTCTTTCTAATGAAGCTGAAACTCGGGTTGAGCTACACTGCACTTGGTGTACTTTTAGTGTTGACAGAACAACGGCATCACGCCACTTTCGAGCTGTGCTAACAACGCTGACTGCTGCGACAGCGAGGTGGAGTTTTCGGCCTCCATTTAGCATTATGCGGGCTATGTTGCCAGAGTGTATTGAAGCCCACTACCTTAAATTCAAAATGAATATTGATTCCAACGAAGTGAGAACAGAGACGCCGAATAGTGTAGGCCAGCAGCGCGTGCTGTACTCGAGCTACGTGAGTGGCTACACTCTTAAGTTTCTGGTTGCTATACCCCTAATGGGGCTATTTGTTTCCGTTCAATGGCGTACGGAGGCCGATGCTCCGACATCCATTTTACGGTGGACTCTAGGTTCTGAAACATTGTGCAGCCCGGGGACGTAATACTGGCTGACAAATGTTTTCCGGGTATCAGGGAAAGTCTGGCAGACACTGATGCCGTGCTCGTGATGCCGCCTTTTTTATCGGTGCATGGGCAGTTCAGTGAGCCAGAAGTGTGCGACACACTACTTTGCCCAGGTCCGAATTCACGTTGAGCGAATGATACAGCGAATTAATATACTCGGGACAACGGTGCCCATTACTCTGATCCCCCGATGGATGACGCTTCAACATGTGCTGTACGCTGGCAAATTTGCAACCTGCCATTATCAAGCCAAAGGAATAAATGGCAGCAAATGTAGGTACATTCAGACGCATAGCAAGGCTAGGTACAGAGCTCCAATTTCTCTCGTGGGGTTGGCTCTTCCTGGGTACCAGCGTAGGCTTCTTATCCGCAACCGAATTCTGCGCCAGAGATTGATTTAAGTGTTTCTGTATGATATGTGATGTCCTGCCGTAAAAGATGGCTAACACCTTTTTTACGAGATGCAAAGATGATTGATAGCAACGAGTGTATTTTCCATGCCCTTGTGGTTCTATTCTATAATGAAAGTGTCAAATCGGAGCACGTTTTATAAGTAGCATTGTTTATGCCAATGAGAATAAAACAACAGCAAATAAAAATAACACACTTTAGCAGAAAACTAAACATTCTGATTGCAAGATTATATTTTGTGTACTGGACTTTACATTTCAGCGTAGTTCTAAACCACCACTTCCTAAAAAGACCGGCAAGTATGCAAAAAAACACATGGAACGTTGTCGCGAGTCATATTGTCTGCAGTGAATTGAATGCAGTACTTTATTGTTCTGTCTTTTACATCACTTGTACTGACATGCTTAGAGCTGGTACTTTTGTGCAAGGACTAGCAGTACCAGCTGAAATAAAACCGTTCTAGAGAGGGAATCGCATTGCTCAAAAACTTGTCGTTCCTGGGAACGAACACAGTGGAATCGTGCTCACCGCATGTGTAGACATAAAAATAACATGATTGCAAGTCCAGCACAAACATCAACACATGCACTTGTGCATAGTACTTGTGCGGTGGCTTCAGGCACAACTCGTCATTAACGTAACTCCGGAGAGTTGTCCCAGCGCGCTAGCGCCACCCGCGGTGCGCAGGTGCGTCACGGCTGGATGTGTGCTTTATTGCCAAAAGCGTTGTAGGCGTTGGAACATATTTCATGTTTATTTATCAGTCCAAATATATCAGAATAAAAAATTATACCTGAAATACATATTTATGTTTACTGTAGTAACCGGGAAGGGCGAGTTACCGAGTTACTCCACTACTAGATTATAATGCGCGCATCTTTCCCGAGACCCGAGTCACCCGGATTCCCATTTCCTCACTTTGTGTACATTCATGATTTTGTTTGTCATATTCGCTGTCCTGTTTCTATTGCCGCACCCGAGCTGATCATGTATATCGTCTGAGTCAAGTATGTCCTGGATGGCTTTAAGAAAACTGCTGAATTCTTCCATAAAGGACTTCCAACCCGAAAGTGTAAACGATTTCGATGCCGACCGAACTTACTACTGTTGGTGGCGTGGAGACGGCCGAACTCGTGCAGAATTTTACGACGAGAAAATTATCACCACGACCGGTACTTTCAACTTCACTAATAAGCTATTTCACGAATGTATGGACTCTTGCAGTTTGCTTAAAAGTTTTGTTCATTTCTGTGCCTCGGTCCACAAATACAAGCGAGCGATGTGGTACAGAAACGACCAAGCGTAAAGAGAAGCATCGCGCGGCCTTAGTATCCACACACACAAATCAATTTCTTTCTGGTGGGTAACACGCATAAAGCTGTTACTGCAACACTGCTGGCCACAATCAACAAAAACTATGAATTCCAACCACACAAGTTTGCCCGGCACTTGGTGCGCATTGTTTTCACCGTGGAGGAGAGGCGAACAAAGTCTCTACATGAAAAGGCTTGCACACTGCTCGAAAAGACATCCCCGCGACGGAATGCATCGACTAGGAAAAGAATGCCATCATCAGTAAGTCCAGAAACTTGTGTAGTTTATTTTGTTTCGTTCTTATACTTTGCTGATACCTAAAGCTCTTATACTTACGCTTTGAGTGACCCACTCTTTGTTGGCCGGTCAAAATAAATAAATAAATACTGTTAACTTTTTCTGCCCCAAATGGTCTAAAATTTGTCATTTATTTCTAAAAACAGTTATCTCTTTACTATTTTCCTAGTTCTCTAATTATATATATTTTTTAGTATAATGTAATCAATCATTTATTGATAATACCAGCTTTGCTGCATAAATATATTTTTAGTTACTTA